TAATATAGTAATATTACATTTTCAGAAAAATAATAAAAATTAGTAATAATAAGAGTTGGATTAAATGAAATAAAAGTATTATTAATGATAAAAAATAATTAAAATACAAAATAAAGTTAAGTAATGATGTAAGCATTGAGTTACGATTAATAATAAACTAGTTGTGTATCTGTGTAATGCGGCGGGAGCTATGTATTTTAACGATTTTGAAGTTTCACTAGTTTTATTAGAGAATATTTAACTATGATATAAGTTACATTTAGTCTTTACATATTAATATAATTTGAATAAATAAGAGTTATGGTTCCAATTACAGTCTATCGATGAAAAAAATTGAATAACAGTTTAAAATCTAATATATTTAAAATACAACATATTTAAACGACTTCACAAATGTATTCGATTTACACCAAGAGCGAAGAATCAAGAGATCGAGACCGAAAATTCTGGATCAATTGAATAAAAGATGAATGTAAAAAACTTTTAATAACTCATGGTAAATATCAGTTTGAATCTCACATCGGGGGATGGAAAGAAAACATAAAGGTATGAAAGAGTGAAGATATGAGTGAAAAGTGCTAAAAGTATCTTGGAACATAAAAAGAAAAGGTAATATGTACATTTGTAACTTGTATAATATGTTATTTTAATTGTAGATTAAGAGATTTTAAGACTGAATGCATAAAGTAGTAGTACTTAATGCATTATGAGTTGTTTTTAAGACTTTGTGCATTAAAATATGTTTTAAGATTTTTGACAAATCTAGTTTATAAGGTAGTATAGATAAGGATAAATGTTTTCAATATATAGGTAGGGAGCAAATATTCTCACACACACATTGATGTCAAAATTCATTTTTTTACATAATCAATATATGCATCGACCTGATTTTAACATTAAATGATAAAAATGTCAATTTTTTTTAAATAGTCTTTATAATAATATTATAAATAAATAAAAACGGGAAAGCATTCAACACTTTCGACCGTTTGGATTCGACATTTATTTCTCAAAACGAGGAGAACGACTGGACTTTTTTTAAACAACAAAAAACATCTCCATACATTTATTTTCATGGAAAATAATACTTTTTCTTTCAAAAGCATACGTATATTTTTTTATTTTTTAAAATATATAGTGATGTTTTGGTAAAATAAAACTGTATGTGATGATATAAATAACTTTGCTAAGAAACTAGGAGTGTTCAAAATAATGGTTCGATCGTTTAAACTGGTTGAATTAAGTTAAACCGGTCTGAGAAATAGTCAAACCGTTTGGTTTGGTTTGGTCTGACCTGTAGTTTGAACATTTTTATAAGCGTTCTACACCGAAGGACCGCCAAAAGTACACATGTATTAATTATATATAGTTTTCATGTTGTAGGCTCAACTTTTATGACCCAATGAGTAACAATCCATCAAAGGCATGATATGTTTAGTTTTCATTTCTCTGCGTTATCTAAATTGATAAAATCATGAAATCCATCAAAAATCTAATGTAAAATTCCAGATCGTCCTTCAACTTGCTCAATATTTGTTCTTCCAACTATTGTATATGGAGTTTTTTTTTTAACATTTTTTCAATTTGCTAAATGTCTTTTTATTTTAGAGATAAACGTTTCTTTTATAATTTTGTGTAATAATGTTATGTTAGTAGAAATTTCATTTTACATATAAATTTATATTTTTTTTTGCTTAAAGCCCATAAGAGGGCTAAAGCGTCTAAAGTGGTCAGACCAGACCGACTTTTTGTGGTCCAGTTTGACCGGTTTGATCAATTGTGGCTAAACTGCTCGGTTTGGAAAATTTCTAAATCGCTATTATTGTTTGCTTTGTGGTTTGGGAATTAAACCGCACAAAGTGGACCGCAAACAGCCCCAACAGAAACGTTATTCTTCTATGTTCCTCTTTTTTTCCCCGTCTTCTATATGTTCTATGTCCTGAAATTGCCAATCTACAATCAAACTTTTAATCAAGTCGAAAAATTCTCGCCGGTCGGTAAAACCAAGACTCATTTTAGCCAGGAGCTTACTTTAACTACTTATTTAGCTACTTTAGGCGTTGTAGTCCATAAATAAGAATAAAACTTTAACAGAGCTTGCAGCTTTCTATTACTTCGCCTAGCAGCACGACGATTGGTTAGGTTGGCAAGTTGAAAACCTTTAAACAAACTAATAAAATGCTTACGATTTGAAAAATCTCAGCTTAAATCCTAGTAAAACTACAAACCAACCCAATCCAAACCGTACCGTTTGGGTTAGGTTGAATTTTGTTATATCATTTTACAATCTAACTAAACATTCGTGTTTAAGCCAAGTAAAATCAAAATGCTAAACATATAAAAAAAACCTAACAAACTAAAAAAAGTTGAAAGTTCATACAAATAAGAAAGTAAAATTACGGCTGAAATAATAATATAACATTGACTTTTAACACCTCTATTCTTATTCATCAATACGAGAAAACTTAATAAACGATTGAATAATAATAAAGTGAAAACGTCGAAACAAATACCATAAACTATTAAATGAATCGAATTCAATCAATTAAAAAGACAATAAAAAGCATAATATATTAAAACTATTGAAAACCCTCAGTTCTGGCAACTCAAAACCATTTTGTAAAAAACCAATTCATAGATGGTTATTTTTTCCACTTTTTCTCGATTACACCCTTTTTACTTTTATTTTTTATTTTTTTAAATATCTATTATTTCATCAACTAACTTATTAAATAACAATTAATATATAGTGATCAAAGTTCAACCATTTAACGCCACCAAGGTTCCACATAGACATGTTTGAACTACCTCAGAATGAATTTTTACCCTCCCGATTGCACCATCTCCATTATTGTATCTGACCACGATTGAACAATTGATCGCACCTAATTTTCTAAATCCAACATTCCATATAATCATCGATCAAGTCGAATCTAACCAAATATTCAACACGCTCAACTCAAGGCCTTCGGGGAGTTCATTAAATTCACCAAGAGTAGAAATAATTTTGTGATGGGAAAAATAAAATGAAGTTCAACTGCATGATTGACAAAATCGAAAATAAAAATTATTGCATTTTTGAAGCAAGGTTATATGACATGAAAGAATTGTTGATTAGGGCAACACCTAGAGAGACCACCAGATAAACCCTAATGCCAATTTGATTGGACAACAATATATTGCCACGTAGCCAATCAGGTTTCATGAAATCTTGGATTTTTTTTTAATTAGACATCTATTGCAAAATAAATAACCAGCTATCAATTTATTGGGTTACCATAAGTTGATCCTGCAAGCATTCCACCACCGGATGATCCATAAACTTCAGATGGGTCGAGCAGTGGGGAAGATGAAGAACCACCTACATTCCTCCCTGCACCGCCACCGCCACCTCCACCTCCACCTCCACCTCCAAGATGCAACTCCGAGAAATTGGGGAAGTTGGTGTGATCTCTCGTTTCGATTCCTTGATCATATAGGAAGCCTTTGAAGACATGTCCACCAATTGTGGCACTCGCTTGGTATGCATATTCGTCGTCTCCGTCTTCCACCGCCGTCACCCTCACGCATTTGAACACCGCCGGAGCACGTACTTGTCCTGGCAACGATTCCTTGAAATTTGCATCTAAAAACCACCCAAAATGGTTATGGAATTCATTCGGATGTTTTTTGGATCATGGATTCAAAAACTAATGTTTTGCAAATACATAATAATGCGCTTAAATTCAAAAGTAACAAGTTTAAAGTTGAAAACGGAAACGGGAAAGATGAATGCTTTGATACCTTGACGATGACTGGAACTAGTGTCGAAACTTCGAGGAGGTGTGGTGTTGGAGGTAGAAGTATGTGAGGTGGTGGTTGTATGGGAAGTGAGGCGAGGTTTCTTGGGACCAGAAGTTGAGGCGGAGGAAACAGTGGCGGTGCCGGTAGATGTCATGAGTTGACGTTCACGGCGGCGAGCGGCGGGTACCCAGGTGCTCTTAACGTGGGTGGCGCAATCAAATCCTCTACTTTTGCAGCAAGTCCTGCACCGCCGGTGGCTGCAGTCTTTCTTGGCCTGGTTGCCGCAGTCTTGACAAGTCATGGTGGATCCTGAAGTTGACGTCGACCCACCAACACCACCGACGCTGCCTTGGAGAAACCCATGATCGGAAATGATTGGTTTGTTCAAATAATTATGTGGTTGTGTTTGTGGGTGCTGCTGCCAGAACTGAATGCTGAAATTACTGTTATTATTGGTATTGCTACTCCTACCACCGCCACGATTATTTAACATATCTTCTTCCACGTTGAGACAAGGAGAGGCGCTTAGAAGAGGGATGACGCCGACGCCGACGCCGAGTGCCGTTGCGGCGGTGGCGTTCACGACAGATGCGTTTATGGAATGTGGATGGGTATGATGATCAGCAAGATTATGATGACTGGAAGGAGCAACGACAAACACATCACGAAGACCCAACATGCCCATTTCCGGAAGGCCGTAGTTGATTTGTCTAGCGGATGTGGATGACGACCACATTCCGGCAGTGGCCCCACCGGCGGTGGCGGGACCGGCATTGAAACCTAACGAAAGATCTTGCTCAGAAGGTCTGAGAGCAGATGAGGAAGAAGGATTAGCAACCCAGTCTGCAAAAGCACCTGAATCTGAAGGTAGCCTACTACTCCTGCTAGTAGCCACAACTGCTAAAATTTTGATCGAAATCTCTCAGATTCGTCAAAAAAGAACACAACTTTATTACTTCAAAACCCCAATTCGAATATAGGGTTGAAGAAGATGGAAGATCTGAGAAGATCTACAAGTCTGTCTATAGATATTATTACCATGATGGTGGGGTCTCTGAAATTCTCTTGAACACAAAGAGACTTGCAGACAGCAAGAGGTAGAGAGAGACAACACAATTACTGCTCTGATACAAAGATTTGCAGTAAGATCAGAGAACACTGCTACTGCTGCTCCCACAAACTACCAAAACATAAAATGGAACTTGGTTTCTTAGCTTTTCTGAGACACAAAAAGAGATTGAAAGGAGGAGGAGGGCATATATGTGTTCTTATCTTTGTGGTTCGTTTCTTAACTTCAACAGCAGCAGCAGCAGCATCATCATCACCATCGGCTTTTCTTGCATAAATCCTTTGTGTTTCTTTTGAGTTCTTGGAAAGTGAGAGGTGGGTTTTGGGTTCTCTTTCTTCCTCTCTCCAATAATCACACCAAGAAAAGGGTATAAAGACTTTTGTTCTCTGGTTTTTTGTAATTATTTGGGCTACTACTACTGCTAGTCTACTACTACTTCTGTGCCCTCTTCTGTCTACAAAAGAAACAATAGCCACCTTCTCCCTTCATGCGCGTGGGCAGCTTCTCAATGCAACTTTCAAAACTACACCTTCACATTATGAGTCTACACATTAACACCCTTTACATTTCAAACTCACCCTTATGGCTAGCACTTTTGCTAAACATCTTCTTTTCCTCCGTCTTTATATGCTTAGTTTTGATTTCAAGAATGGAGATTCCTGATGTTTTAGAAGATTGATTCATCTTCAATACGGAGATAGAATGTTAAAATGATTAGAATTTGTTAACATTCAATTAACCTCCATTTTGTACATAAACGCTCCTAAAATATAATGGTATTGATTCCTGTTGATACTAAGACGTTGTCTGATAAACATAAGTTTGGATGATAGCTTATTGAAAACGCTATTTAGAGTAGTGTGTTTTAAGAATTTATTATCACTTTTTCAAATTGTAACCCCCTTAATATATATATATATATATATATATATACTAGTTGTGTATCCGCGCAATGCGGCGGGAGCCATGAATTTTAACGATTTTGAAGTTCCACTGGTTTTATAAGATAAGATTTAACGATGATATATGTTACACTTGGTCTTTACATATTAATACAATTTGAATAAATAAGAGTTATGGTTCCAATTACAAACTTTCGATAAAAAAAATTGTATGACAATTTACAATCCAATATATTTAAACGACTCCACAAATGTGTTTGATTTACACCAAGAGCAAAGAACCAAGAAACTTGAGTTTTAAGATAAACACTCAAAACCAATAAAAAAAAACTACAAATTTGACAGATCATAAGTCATGAAAAGACAAAAAAAGATGGGTTTTAGAATGAAATTTCAACTGCTTACCCTCTTTCTTGTTCAGAAACTCAGATTAAGGTTGAATTAATATACATGTATATATATATTTCAAAAAAACCCAAGAACATATTAATTCAAAACATATTATATAGTGCAATTTGGACAGCCTAACCCCAAAATATATAGTATATATATAAATAAATAACTATAAAAGTATAAATCTTAAATATTAAAAGTATTTTTTCACAATATATATAATATATAATAATATAATTA